CGTTCCTGGGACGTCGCACTCTGTTCGACCGGAGGTGGGATGTAGCGGGCTCGACGGGGGTTCGGGGCGTGACATCCCAGTTACCCCAATTTCCACGAATCTGGCCCAGACAACATCAATTAAAGGGTTATTATTTCTTTAGTCGCAATGTTCATTAATTAATTAGAACGTGACTTGACATCAATTAAAATTATATATTTTCTTTTTTGGAGCAATAAAATAATTTTTAATTTCTCGGGCTCTTCCAAGAAAAAGCGCAACGCAACGAAGGGGACTTTCCATGACTTAGAATGGGAGGTGCAATGCAATTGCATATTTTTCTTTTTGGAGGGTAATCAATTAGAATTGTTGATAGAATAATTTTTTATTTGAGGGCAATTTCTCGGGCCCTTCCATGAAAAAATGCAATGCACAAAGAGACTTCCTTTGACTCTCTGGTTCGTCGATAAATTCTCCAAAATTATGTCTATTAGACACTACTCTTACATCTCTCTTCTTACTATTAAACACCGTCGGTATACTTGATAAAATGTTATTTGCTTGGAATTGTGTCAGAAGTGAATGACTGATGGTTTGAACACGCCTATTCCACGTACGAATATTTCAACCCGTTCAACTTTACCTGACTCTGAAAAGGAAAAAAGCACTGCGTGACTAACTAAAAATCGATGCATATTGTCTATTGTTTTTTCTCTTTTTGAAAAACATATCAGTAAAGTAAAACTGAGATAGAATCTAGCTTTTATACAATGCTAGAAAAGTTCAATCTAAAAACTTAAGCCGAAAGGTATAGGAAGACCACATGTATATAAAGAGAATATAAAACCTAGTAGCAATGTGGGATATTTTGACAAAAATAATGACAAGTGCATGACACTGGACTAAGACTTATGTCATTAATACCTAAATCGAATTTTCTGCTATAGTGAAATTGAAATCGAAACTATAGTTTCGTTAGCTTAATTTATGTATTTTTTGTAACTTTATCTAATAGAGTAAAAAAAAAACAAACAAGGGAATTTTAATAGAACAGATTACACAGAGTGTTGTGGAGAGTTACTCTTCTTATTTTAGTTAATCACACTAGTTGCAAAAGTACTAATGTTTTGATGGTTGATTAATCATGTCCTAGATCTTTTATTTTCAGTCGATTGAGTCCTTAGTAATTTGACAAAGATGCAATTAACATCATTGCCTTTGACCTTTAGTAAAAGGGCAGTTATACTCTTTTAGATTGTTATGAGATGAAGCATCATTTTAACCACAATCAGAAATAAAGCATAGGAATGTTATTGATCGGTGATCATTGAATAGATAACTTGATTATAGAAAATCTAAACAGATAGGAAAAACTCTAAGAATATGATTTTGATTTTTTCTTGAGTCACATAAAGTTATGGAAGAAACTTTGATTCTACTTTCAATAAATCTCATAATCAAGTTTCTCGGTCAATTTTCAACGAAACTTATGTGTTTTATTCCTTGATTATTGTAAAATAATGTTTAGTTTTGTGAAAACCTAAAAGGACATGATATTTTGCGATGAGTAAATGTCCCCAGCAGGGAGATTGGGACTCAATTACACATTTTCCAAAAAGGCTTAGGAGTCAATTTACTAAATAGAATGTTTAAGGCTCCATCAACAAACAATAAAAAAAGCTTAGGGCTCCAATAGCACATATAATGTATTTTGAGAACCTTTGTTATTTAGTTGACAATTTAGAATAAAAAATACTTGGAAAATGATCTTATGCAAGTTAATAGCGTGTAATTCTTATTTAGAGGGAAATGTTATTGCCATTTATGAGAAAGATAATACTTCGAAAAAAGAAAAAAATATATTTTTTGCTACTCTCTTTGAGAGTTACCGTAAGAGTCTCACACCCATTACAGAATATTTGGTCCGAATTCTTTGTCCAACAATATATCTTTATCTGTGAAATCTTTATCTTGAAAAAAAATACTTTTTCTCTTGAATAAGAACCTGTATATGACATATTTCACTTAGTTAAATAGAATGTTATACATCAATGAAATGCTTTCTTTATCTTAAATTTGAAAAGATCATTCACGTGCACCATGGAATCCATTGATGTTACATATTTTCTTTTTGGTGGGTATCGATTAGAATAGTTGATAGAATATTTTTAATTAGATAAATTTATTTGTGTTTTTTTATTGTTATCTAGTAGAGTAACAACAAAACAAACAAGGGAATTGCTATAGAACCGATAACACAAAGTGCACGTGGAGAGTTACTCTTCTTCTTTCGGTAAATCACACTAGTATAAAACAAACAAGGGAATTGCTATAAAACAAACAAGGGCTCCTATTGCTCGTATATTGTATTTGGAGAACCTTTATTATTTAGCTGACACTTTAGAATAAAAAATCAATTACATAATAGACTACCATAATATTCAATTAGGGAATATATTTGGATAATTTAGCAAATAATCTTTACAAGTTAATAGGGCGTAATTTTTAGTTAGAGGGAAATGGATTTTCGTCGGCTAGAAGGATATTACTTTGAAAAGAGGTAAAAGAAGGAATTTTTTAAGCTACCCATCTGGACCTTGCCTTAGGAATCTTACATTCGTTACGGAGTGTTCAGATTTGTAAATTGTGGTCTGACCAAACTTTGGTTGTCCAGGGACGAAGGAGAAAGAGGTGTTTTGGTGTTTGGGGGGGCGTCTTACACACTGGGCACAGTGGGTCAGGTAAGTTTCTTCGCTTGAACAAGTTTTCCTTTATAGGCAAGGCATTTTGGCAAACTTGCCAGAGGAATAGTTTGATTTTGGGTAGGGTGTTCATGTTCCACACTTTAGACCATAGGGCTCGTGGTATTTGGCACGAGGACGAGGCTTGTTGATTGGCTGGGCTGTCTGCTTCTTTTGTGAGATGATTGTACCCTCTTTTAACTGAGTAATTCCCTGATTTGGCTGCTGTCCATATTAGTCTATCTTTCTCTTCCATAGGTGGGATGGGGATGGCCAAGATTTGCTCCACAATATTGTCTTCAAACAAGCTATAAAGGCTTTGTTCATTTCATTTCGCCTGGTCTCTATCAATCAGTTCAGACACTAATTGGGGATCATCTTGGTTTGATGGACTTGCAATTGTGCCCAATCTTGTCCACTTGTCTTCACGATTCTAATCGATTTTCCATTACTTACTGATCATTGAACTGAGCCAGCTAATGCATCTCTTCCAATCAGCAAGCTGTGCCACCCCCAGGACGATCTCTGTCCTTTCCTCGCATGCCAAAAATCAGTATTGGGGAAGTAGAGCCCTTTCAGTATTTGGCACCAAAGCGTCGAAGGTAATTGTGCCATCCTCCAAGCATGTTTGCCTAGCATTTCCCTATTAAATGTAATTAGGTCACAAAAACCCATACCTCCACTGTCCTTCCTCTTTTTCATTACCTCCTAGCACTTCCAGTGTATACTAGCCTTGGAATCATTGTTTTTCCACCAGAATGAAACAATCTTTTGTTCAATGGCTTTACAAAGGGAAAGTGGTATCTTGAAGATTGACATGGCATATTGCGGGAGCGCCTTGACAACCGTTTTCAATAGGATCTCCATTCTAGCCTTTGACATCATCTTTTCCTTCCACCCTTCAAGTTTCATAATTACCCTAGCCTGTATCCAAGCGAACATTTGTTTCATTGATACGCCCTGATCCGAAGGGATACCCAATTATTTCCGTGTTTTGTCTATTTCTGGGACTCTCAATTCCTGTGCCATATTCCTACGAAGATTCTGGGGGTAGCCTGAGCTAAAGAAAACACCTGACTTGTTTAAATTGATTGCCTGGCCCATGGCAAAACAGTATTGATAGAGAATGTTAGCCAGGTTTTGGCATTCTATAACTTTCCCTTTCGGGAGAAAGATAGAATTGTCCACAAACAACAAGTGGAAGAGACTTGGGCAATGTCAATTAGCTTTATTCCTTTTACTCGACCATCTTCAACTGCTTTTTATAGTAAGGAGAGGACATTAGCCACAAGTATAAAAAGATAAGGTGAGAGGGTCACCTTGTCGGATTCCACATGTCGGGTTGAAAGAAGGCAAAGGCTCCCCATTGAACTTCACACTAAATAAGATAGTAGTGACACATTGCATGATCCACGAGACCCATTTTCTACAGAAACTCATTTTTAGCATACAAGCTTCCAGGAAGTCCTGCTCAATCCTATCGTAGGCTTTTTGCATATCTAATTTTAGCACTGCTTGGAATTTTTTCGTCCTTTTCCTGATTCGTTGGTTCAGTACCTCTTGAACTATCAGGATATTATCCTGAATCTGCCTTCCGCTAACAAAGGCACTCTGTTCCACTGCAATCAATTGAGGTAGCCACGTTCTTAACCGGTTACCTTGCACCTTTGAAATGATCTTGTTCGTGAAGTTGCAAAGGCCAATGGGTCGGTATTGTTAATTAGAACTTGACGTGAAATTGATTGATATATATATTTTTGAGTCTGTTTGTTTGATGGAAATTAGTGGAATTGTTTTCATGAAAGATGAGTCTTTTTCTTATGTTTGATCGTGTCGAAAATCACTTGAAAGAAATTCTGGTGTTTAACAAAAAATGAAATTGATTGGAGAATCCATTACAAATTGCCTTTAAAACGACAGTGCGGTCGTATTTAGAACCAATTCACAAACTTCGAGCTCAAATAAGTATTCTACTTATTGTTCCCGGTGCGAATAATAAACGAGACGAGTTTATGAAATCAGATTTGAACTTGTCCTGTTGTGGCCTGGGGGAAAGTTTTGAGTTTAGTAAATTGGATCGTGAGGTGGAATCAATTGAAATTATTAATCAGAATGGTTTATAAAATACTATTTTATTGCAGGAAATTTCCGCAGCCCTTCCCACGATTCTTTGGCTCGTCTATAAATACCTCCAGATTTGCATGCATTAGACACTACTCTCTTACATCTCTCTCCTCATTATTCAACTCGACCACTACCCTTTAGCTCCCGAAGATTGCAATGAGGAAATATTCGGATGGAACAGCGGCATCGACCAGTAGAGGCGATGTTGAGTCGTCGCTGGGGGCTGAATACGAGGTGTTCTTGAGTTTTAGAGGGCCTGACACTCGCCAGAATTTTGCCGATTGCCTCTATCACGCCATGGATGGAGCTGGCATTCGCGTTTTCATAGACAACGAAGAGATCAGAAAAGGCGAAGAGATCGAAGGCGAACTGAAGCGTGCGATCGAGAGCTCCTCAATTTGTATTCCCATCTTCTCTAGAAACTACGCTGTCAGTGCGTGGTGTCTTCGCGAGCTTGCATACATGGTGTATCGCAAAGCGATGATTCTGCCGGTCTTCTTTGACGTGGAACCCAGAGATGTCAAGCTTAAAACTAAGCTGTACCATGATGCTCTGCAGAAGCACGAGGAGAAGTATGGCTGCGAGGTCGTGCAGATATGGAAGAAGGCTCTGGAGAAGGTCCCTGATATGAGCGGATGGCATCTCAAAGATACCGGGTAAGGTTTGGGCTTTTATTTTTTTCTTTGATTAGATATTTAATTGATATAGCTATAAATAATAAGAAATATTATCATCCTTGCATTAAAAGTTACAACTACCCATCGTTCTCTTTTTCATCTAATTGTCACTCAATCTCCACATATTTTATGACTACTCACTACACATCCACTCAATTAAATCAATTCCTTTCAAAACATACATGACTTTTCTGACCAATTAAATCAATTCCTTTCAAAACTAGATGAATTCTCTATTTAGACATGACAAATCCAATCTGAATTCATTATTCAATTTGCATCCTTTAGATTGAATAAAACTCCCTTTTTATTAACTTCTAAAATACTGTTATGTAGGTTTGTTTTAATAAAACAATTGTTCTAGCTATTACTATTTTACTCCATGCAAAACTAGTAAACCGAGCACACACTGTATGTGAGCAATAAAAAATGAATAAACAAATTCTTTGCATATATTTAGTGGAAGAAAATCTAAAGGTTTCGATTTTTAACAATTTATGGATGAGGGAGAATCTTTTACAAAGTTTAAGATTTCATCCTTATCTTAGCAATTTACATCTTTGACCATAGTATAAAATACCCAATTGCAATTCGTTTTAAGTAAATTGACTGGATTTTGGTTGATTGAGGAGGAGGGGTGCAATTCACTTACGGTCGACTTTTTTCCTACATATCCACAGAGTATATATACAAATAATTTATGGGAGAGGGGGTGGTCGCACCCGCTTCCTCCCTCACCCCTCCTCTATGGTTGGTTTATGTTTAATTCATAATATTCCGGAGCTCGATAGTTTAATATTCTATTTGGATGTTTCTTACTAGACCCTTTTATCAAATATGACAGTCACGGCGAACTCATTAAAATAATCGTTGCTGAAGTTTCGATCAAGCTGAATAAAAAAGACAAAAAGCTGCCGGATCATTTAGTCGGAATTGAGGATTGTGTTGATGATGTCATGCGCCTAATAGATGAAGGTTCACCTGATGTTCGTTATCTGGTAATCCACGGAATGGGGGGCATCGGTAAGACGACTCTTGCCAAAGTCGTCTTTAACCAAATTTCCAGTCGATTTCACGGGTGCAGCTTTATTTCGAATGTTCGAGAAGCTTCAAATGGCAGCAAAGTCGTTCAATTGCAAAAGCAATTATTGTCGGAAATTCTCAACTCCAATCCACACGAGTTTTATGACTCTGATGCAGGGATTTACCAAATTAACACGAGATTCCGCCGCAAGAAAGTCCTCATTGTTCTAGATGACTTAGATGAAATGGATCAACTCTCAAAACTTGCTGAAAAGCCTGATTGGTTTGGTCCAGGGAGCAGAATTATTATTACAACAAGGGACACGAACTTTTTGCCGATTGAAGAGGAGAACCGAGAAAATAATGTCCGGACGCATTTCAAAGAGTTTACAATCTATCAAATGAGAGAATTGTCCAGTCGCCATGCTCTTCAACTTTTTAGCAAGCATGCATTCAAAATGGATTCTCCTCCACATGATTATGATCATATTTCTCACGATATTATTTGCAAAACCGGTAGACTTCCTTTGGCTCTCGTGGTTATCGGTTCCTCTCTTTATGGCAAAAGTAAACCAGATTGGAAAGCCACGTCGAAGAAATTAGATTTAGTTCCCAATCGAGATGTCTGTCACAAATTAAAGATTAGCTTTGAAATGCTAGAGGATGCACAAAAAGAAATTTTTCTTGATATCGCGTGTTACTTTATTGGTAAAGAAAGAATCCATCCACATTATATGTGGAAAGCATTGGATTTTTCCCCCAAAATTGAGATCCCTGTCCTTTCTCGTATGTCTTTGATAAAGGTTGATGGTAATGACAAACTGTCGATGCATGACCTGCTAAGAGACCTTGGAAGAGAAATTGTTCGAAAAGAACACAAATTTCTGGAGAAGCGTAGTAGACTATGGTCTCCCAAGGATGCGTTGAACGTAGTGCAGCATAGAAAGGTACATTTTATTCATAGCTACCGTCTTTTCGATCATGGAAACATCTGCTCAAAGCTTAAATTATATTCCTAGATGTGTTCTTTTGTCTGTGTTGTGCATCGCATAAAACTACATTTGTCAAGTTTGAGTGAAATGACAGTAATATCATGACTTATATCTGTTGGTTGTTGGTCTGATACTAGTTGGTTTTTGGTCCGATACCAATGTTGGATCGCGAAAGCATGATTTTGATATCACTATTTAGTTTGTGGTTTAATGTGCTAGTTTGTTTGTGTGCGGGATATATTCGGAAGAGGATGACAAGAGAACAAGGTAAGAGAACTCCAAGGATATAGCCAATGGGATAAGAAAAAATATAGTTTCATTATTTCAACAAAGTAGTTATACTGCTCCCCACACAATTACATGAATGATTCTAAGCTCTACTTATGGGGCAATTCCATCGACTTTGACAGGGAAAATCTCTGCCGAGTTGTGCTTAGATATATATTTTTTTCTTTTAAAATTTTTCTAGGCACAAGCATACGTGGACTTATATCCAAGATATTATTGTTGTCTTTGCAGAGAAGGAGAGGTCTAGATGCTTCTTGAAAATGGATCACTGATTCTAACAATATCTAGCAATATATATTAATTGCTTACATTTACAACCCCAAAGTAGAAGAAAACTGAATGGTTTACTTATAGAATAGGTCTATGCAATATTTAATCACGGAATGCTTCGCTCTTTTTCTTCACCGTAGAAAGTTCACTTATGCCTTTTCATGTTGTTAGGGAACAGATAACATCACAGCACTCAAACTAACTGGACTTCCACAGGAGCACAACTTTACAAGTGAAGAGTTTTCACGGCTGCCTAACTTAAGGTTGTTGGAATTAGAGGGAGGGAACTTGACAGGAGACTTTAAAAATCTTCTCTCGAGTTTAAAATGGCTCTCTTGGCGTCGTTGCCCTTCAGACTTGCAGGCAATCAATCTATGTTTACGGAACTTAGTTGTGCTCAAGCTTTCGGACAGTGAGATTCTCAAGACCTGGAATGGATGGGGTCCATGCTTGGTATGATTTCGTATTACATATATGTTTGTTGCCATTTCCCTTGCCTTACTTTTCTAATTCTAATTTGTTTCACAGGCAAATCGCGACTTGAAAGTTATACATCTCATGAGATGCCATCTCTCGATAACTCCCAACTTCTCAACGTGCTTGAATTTGAGGATACTGGTTTTTGCTGAACATTTTCCGGAGTCGCCACAAATCGGTAGCTCTATCGGTAAGCTAGAGCACCTAAAGCGCTTGGAAATAATTGCATCTGGAGTTCAGCCGTCAAAGTTTTCTGGAAGCCTCCATTTTGACCTGTACAAAGTGCCTTCTGCAATATGCCGTCTAAAGCACCTGTCAAGTCTAAAGCTAGAGGGGCAGTGTATGCGAGAGCTTCATCCATCTATTGGAGAGATGGCGTGCTTGACATGCTTGTCTTTAGTGCAGTGTTATCGGCTTAGAAAGCTTCCAGACTCCATTGGGAAATTGAGATTGTTGCTCGAATTGAATTTGTTTAACACAAGAATCCGAGAGTTACCTGATTCTATCACAGTTTTCAAAAGGTTGGAGAAAATGTACTTGGGATACACTCGGATAAGAGAGCTACCAAACTCCATTGGAGGACTAGAATCATTGCTCGACTTTGACTTGCAATGTACCGAGATTACAACACTGCCTGCTTCTATTGGATATCTTAAGAGACTGCAGCGCTTAAATATGTATTGCAGTAAGATAAGAGAGTTACCGAATTCTATTGGAGATCTCAACAGGTTGGAGAAAATGGACCTGGGACACACTCAAATAAGGGAACTACCAAATTCCATTGGAGGACTTATGTCATTAATCGACTTCGACTTGCGATATACAAAGATTACAAGTCTGCCTGCTTCTATTGGATATCTTAAAAGGCTGAAGCACTTAAATATGTACAAGAGTAAGATAAGGGAGCTGCCGAATCCCATAGGAATGTTGGAGAATCTTGAATCGTTGGCATACCCCGGTTGTAGAAATACAGATATCACATGGCCTCCACAGCTTTCGGAACTTTCTATATTTGGTGATGATCCTCGATCTCTCACATGGCCTCCTCAACTTTCGAGACTCTCCGTATTTTGTGATGATCCTCAATCTCTCCCAAGTCTTCCTTTAGGTCTTCGTAGTTTCGCATTACACGGTGTCAAGTTACCGATAGAGCAACTACTCCTCTCCGAATTGAGACATTTGCCTGAATTAACACTCATTGGATGGGGATTGAGAGAGATCAAGTTTGAGCAGCTAGAGAATCTCCATTATTTAACGGTGGATAGCTGTAAATCACTGGTGAGGCTATCGGGTCTGTCTAGCTTACGAAAGGTCGAAAATTTAAATATCATTGGTTGCTCACTGCTAATCGAGATTCAAGATTTGGGAGAAATGGAATCATTGGAGAAATTACTACTTAGTGATTGCAGTTTCATGAAAACGTTACCTGATCTATCAAAACTACATAAGTTGCAAAGTTTGTCCATACGCAACTGTAAATCACTGCAAGGTTTGCCTGATTTGCCGCACTCGCTGGAGGCATTACTCATTATCAATGGGAGCTCTATAAAAAGGTTACCTGATTTATCAAAACTACATAAATTGAAGTATTTGTATGTAAGTCACTGCAAATCACTGCAAGGTTTGCCCGATTTACCAAACTCCATAATTGATCTCCAGCATCATGCATGCCCATTGTTAGGCGTGCCTCGTGACTTTTTCGAATTTTGCCGGTGGTGTCGGAAGTCCAACCCGGGCCAATCTTCAAGGAGGCGAACAATGTGGGGGTGACACTTGGTACTCTTTCCCATTTCACGCGTACTTTGCCTTATTTTCTTCAATTTTCTTTTCCCTTCCCATTTCTTTATTTCATTGTCCCCTTCCAAACAATCAGCCAACTTTTTTGTGGTTCTTCCTGTTCACTGTAAAGATGCATATCCCCATTTTCCACATTGCAAAATTACTCGCTCTAATCTTCTCTGGTTTATTTACAGAACTAGTCTATGCAATATTTACTAATGGAATGCTTCGCTCTTTTTCTTTACCGTAGAAAGTTCTCTTATGCCTTGTCATGTTGCCAGGGAACAGATAACATCACAGCACTCAAACTAACTGGACTTCCAAAAGAGCACAACTTTACAAGTGAAGAGTTTTCACGACTGCCTAACTTAAGGTTATTGGAATTAGAGGGGGGGAACTTGACAGGAGACTTCAAAAATCTTCTCTCGAGTTTAAAATGGCTCTCTTGGCATTGTTGCCCTTCAGACTTGCAGGCGGTCAATCTATGCTTAGAGAACTTAGTCGTGTTCAAGCTTTCAGACAGTGAAATTCCCAAGAACTGGAATGGATGGGTTCCATGCTTGGTATGGTTTTGTATCCCATGTATACGTTTGTTGCCATTTCCCTTGCCTTACTTTTCTAATTCTAAATTGTTTCACAGGCAACTCATGACTTGAAAGTTCTATATCTCGTGAGATGCCATCTCTCGACAACTCTCGACTTCTCAACGTGCTTGAATTTGAGGATATTGGTTTTTGCTGAACATTGTCCAGAGTCAACACAAATCGGTAGCTCTATCGGTAAGCTAGAGCGCCTAAAGCGCTTGGAAATAATTGCAGCTAGAGTTCAGCTGTCAACGTTGTCTAGAAGCCCCCATTTTGACCTGTGCACAATACCTTCTACAATATGCCGTCTAAAGAACCTGTCAAGTTTAAAGCTAGAGGGGCAATGTATGCGAGAGCTTCACCCATCTATTGGAGGGATGGCAGGTTTGATGTTCATGTCTTTAGAGCATTGTTGTTGGCTTAGAAATCTTCCAAACTCCATTGGGAAATTGAGATCATTGGTTGAATTGAATTTGTTCAACACAAGAATCAGAAAGTTACCTAATTCTATTGGAGATCTCAAATGGTTGGAGAAAATGAAACTGGGATACACTCGGATGAGGGAGCTACCAAACTCCATTGGAGGACTAGAATCGTTGCTCGACTTAGACTTGCGGTATACTGATATTATAGTACTGCCTGCTTCCATTGGATACCTTAAAGGACTGCGGTTCTTAGTTGCGATTAAAAGTAAGATACGAGAGTTACCTGATTCTATTACAGATCTCAAAAGGTTGGAGATAATGGACCTGGGATACACTCAGATAAGGGAGCTACCAAACTCCATTGGAGGACTAGAATCATTGCTCGTCCTAGACTTGTCCTATACAAAAATTACAGAATTGCCTGCTTCTATTGAATTTCTTAAAAGGCTGGAGAGCTTATGGATGTATGGGAGTAAGATAAGAGAGCTACCGAAGGACATGGGGATGTTCGAGAATCTCGAACAATTGGTAAACTGCGGTTATGGAAATATAGATATCACATGGCCTCCTCGACTTTTGAGTCTGCATATTTTGTGATGATCCTCGATCTCTCCCAAGGCTTCCTTTAGATCTTCGTTATTTGGAATTAAACGGTGTCAAGTCACCGCCAGAGCAGCCCTTCCTCTCCGCATTGAGATGTTTGGATGAGTTAATATTCTCTAGATGGGGATTGAGAGACATCGAGTTTAAACTGTCAGAGAACCTCCTTCATTTAAAAGTGGAATACTGTAAATTGCTGGTGAGGCTATCAGGTCTATCAAACTTAAGGAATGTCACGGATTTGGAAATCTATTCGTGTTCACAGCTAATTGAGATTCGAGATTTGGGAGAAATGAAATCGCTAGACCAATTAACTATTGGTGAATGCAGATCCATAGAAAGAATAACTGACCTATCAAAAATACATCAATTGGGGTATTTGAAAATATGTCAATGTGAATCATTGCAAGGTTTGCCTGATCTATCAGAACTACACAAGTTGCGGAACTTGCAACTCTCTCACTGTAAAGCGCTGCAAGGTGTGCCTGCAGTTCCAAACACATGCTGTCGAGATGTTCATGCATGCCCACTGTTAGGCGAGTACGGTGACTTTGCCGGAGATTGCTATTGGTGTAGGAAATCCATCCCGGGCCTACTTTCAAGGAGGCCATATATGTATATGTGACAGGTGGCACTCTTTCCTATTTCATTCGTACTTTGCCTTAATTTCTTCATTTTTTTTTCTTTTCCCTTCCCGTGTCTCCTTCCGAACAATCAGCCAACTTCTTTGGTAGTTCTTCCTGTTCACTCTAAAAGATGCATATCCCCCATTTTTCAGTCTTTCCCATTTCTGTATTTCATTGTCTAATCTTATCTAAGTTTAATTAGATAAATCTGTGACGGTGCGTACTCGTGGTGCTTTATGAGAAGTTGACATCGACACTCTCTCCACCTAACACATGGCGATTTTTCTTCTATTGTTTTTTTTTCTTAGGATAACTTAATTGTGATTAACAAATGAAGCAATGCCACGAATTGTTTTAACAAAAAAATTAAATCAAGCTTCATCATAGTAGTATTAAATGAGTTGACAAAACCTTGTCTCCACCAGGTGACAAAAGTAGAGGAAAATTGTAACAAAAGAAAGCTACACCAAAAAACATCAGTAAAGCATGTCAAGTCAAAGATCGAACTAAAGCAGAGGATTTTCAAAACTGACGTAGCATGGTCATCACAAACTGGGCGTTGAAGCTAAAAGAGATTAATCTCAAATTATCTAACAAACAAAAAGTGACTTTGTAATTGAATATTGCATTAGGAAAGAAAGTCTACGGCATAAAAAGAGGGATAAAGGCACCAATAGATCATGAAATTTTGTGAAATGTTTAATTGAGTCTTTGAATTTTTTTTTGGTCAATTATGTTCTTGAACTTCAATTATTAGGTCCGGCAATGACGACTGTGAAAGAAAGAAAGGAAGAAACATGATTTAGTGAAATTAAATGGGTGCTTTAAGAAGTCCGAACACTCAATGCTTAGATTACTTAGCCGCTCTGGCATGGCGTGACCTAGTATTTCAATCCAAAATCGCTCATTAAAATTTCGTTAGATGACACAAACGAGACATCGCCGTTTCGAAGGTGTAGTAAAGTAATGCCTTGGCTGCAAGATGCGTTCCCGCGTCCCCGTCGAGATTAAGGGGGCGTGGGTTCGTGTTCTTGGAGCACCCCCCTCCCCTTCCCTCCCCTTTTCACTCACATGCGTTCTCTCTTGCCGACGTTAGAATTGCATGTATGCTCATTGCGCCTCTTCGGTTTCGACTCTCTGTCCGGATCTTTGCTGCTCGATTTTCAATTTTGAATCTTTGCTTTATTCATAGGAATCGATTTTATTAAGTTGCTCAGCTGATGTGTGTTGCTATTGAGCTTTGTAGGATCTAAATATGGCTTTGTTTAAGGCCATGAATCACGTTGAGCGCGATTATCCACATAGTACCCTCGAGGTAAATCTTATGTGCTTATTTTTTGTTCATTGGAATTTGTTTCGCTCTATTTCATAAAACTAACATGAAAGTACTAATCAGTAATAAGCTTAAGTCTTCGCACACAAAAATAGATTTGACTGCCACTAGAAAGAGAGGATAACATTGATCACTTTCCTCAGGAAGGTGCCATTCTTGTGCAAATTCAGAGAAAAGTGGAGAATGTCTTTGGGTTCTGATTTTATTAGCAAATTGATGTGTAGATCACACACCCACCTGGCCCTCTTGTTCAATGCTGCATCACATAACAATTCAAGAATATCCTAAATTTTACTTCTGAAATCATTTGGTACAAACTTTTATATTTGTGTATCAATCTATGTCTTGGATTCTCCTTGAGAATTAATTATAAGGGTCAGGTGCAATTTGAAGTGAAGAGTCCTTGTCAAATCAAAGGTGGTCACAAGCTCTGTATCGCCATTTCATTTATTGCCGAGGCAAAGAAAATCTATGTGATTTTTTCCTAGCTCTAGATCAGAGCAACAACCTTCTTGGAATCGTGTTACCTATCTTTTTTTTTTGTTTTGTTTGACATTTCCTACGATGAGTCGATTTGACTATACTTTCAAGCACGACTTGAACACAATACAGCCTATGACAAGAAACTTGAGTGATGGTCAACCTTGCAGGTTAAAAAAAGTTTGTGCTGTGTAGTTGGCGTGCAATTATTGGTGATAAGAACTCCCACGGAGTTATCGCTGGGCTCTCGCAAAGAACAAGATTAATTGAAGTCGACTTTCAACAAAGCAAAAAGAGAGAAGATTTTATTGGGTGGACTGGTAATTTCATGGGTGATAATGTATTACATTTTGGGATTGTGATCGGTTGTTGTAGGTGTATTTTTGGAGCTTTAGATTGGTTGTCGTAGTATGGGCTGTGATTAGTGGTAAGTTTAATTGTTTTGTAAACTCATCTGTTCTTTTTTTGTAATGCAAATATTTAAGTTTAATGAATCAGGTGTTTATTGATGAGTTTGGTTAATGATGGTTGCTTGATCATGTGCTTGCGGTTGAGTTGATGATGACGGTTAATGAGTTGATGGGCTGTGATTAGTGGTAAGTTTAATTGTTTTGTAAACTCATCTGTTCTTTTTTTGTAATGCAAATATTTAAGTTTAATGAATCAGGTGTTTATTGATGAGTTTGGTTAATGATGGTTGCTTGATCATGTGCTTGCCGTTGAGTTGATGATGACGGTTAATGAATTGATGATGGTTGAATGATGAGTTGGTGATGATGGTTACTTGGTCAAATGCTTGCAGCTAAAATTGTTGGAAAGCAATGCACAACACCTTCCGTGCTGAGTGCACAGTACAGCACTTGCTGCGCACACAGGCTGTGCGTACAGCACTTAGCCATATTGTGCAAACATTGCTGTGCATTGCTGCTATGCTACTGTGGCG